GAAAAAGTAAAAGCTAAATTTGAAAGTAATAAAAAAAAGTATAAGCAACTGAATCTAATATTAGAGGAAATATCAATAAAAAAAGCAAATATAACAAATAGTAATAAGCAAGAGAAGATGAAAAGTGTAGAAAGCTATAATATAAATAAGGAAGAAAGAGAAAAGCATGCAAGAATAGAACTAGAAAAAATAGAGAGAAAAAGAGGTGAACTAAGAGAAGGTCAAAATGAGATCTAAATAAGCTATATAAAAAATAAAAGAAAAGTAAAAGAAAAGATAGTATACAAAGAAGACAAGACAAAAAGAGAAGAAAAAGTATAAATAAGAAATATTGCAATAGAAGTAAAGAAAGAAGAAAGTAATGCAAGATATTAAGCAATTAAAAAAAATAAAAAAAGAGTATTCATAAAGAAAAAAGAAAATGATGTTATAATGAGAAGAACAAAGATCTAAAAGACTTTGAAAAAAGAAATCGGTACTAAGAAAGATCTAAAGCTAGTATAAGTAAAGAAGAAAATGCAATAACAGAGTAAGATATTCTATTGTATATCTTAAGAACTCAAGTATTCAGAGTAGTAATATTTATAAAAAGAGTTATAAATATTAAGTTAATTCAAGAAGACTATATAAAAATAAGAGCAGAAGTCATATTCAAAGAAGTAGAATAAATAACTAAAAAAAAAAAGTCTGAGCTATACTTTTATTAAACAATGTATTAGTTTGTATAATACTAAGACTAAATAGAAGAGAAGTTCTTAAAAGTTGAAAACAGCATACTACAAAACTATATAATATTCTAAGAGAAGCTAATGAAGTACTACTTTTTAGACAAATCAGATATACAGGAGCAAAATCAGTACATATCTTCAAAAATGCAAATAGAAATAATAAAAGATTTGTCATAGTTTCTTTTAAAAGTAAAGAAGAGTTAGAGTAAGCAAGAAAATATAATATACGATATTATGATACAAGATTCTCTTGCAAGAATACAGAAAGCAATGTAAAGAAACTGATATATAATAGAACAAAGCAAAAGTAGTTTAACTTTGAGCAAGAATAGAGAAGCAAAAAGTATGAACAGATAGATAAAAATGAAAATAAAAATATAGTCAATAGCTATGATAAGAGAAAAAAATATAGAAAAAAAAGTTTATATAAGAATAAAAGAGAAGAAGCTAACAAGAAAAAAAAAACTGAAAAGAGTAGTAGATATATAAGTAACAAAGAAAGCTATAAAAAAATACTAATATATTACTAGTATATATAGTTTAACTTATTCATAAATTAGAGGAAAAAGGAACCAACTCTTCCTGACGATCCCTAAAACCAAAATGACGATAAAAAGGAAAAACTTTTATATATATAATAATACTCTATT